TCAGTAATGATGGGAGAACATGTCATGTTTGAGTCCTGTTTTGAGGAACTGTTTGGCTAGACTCTGGGAATGTTGCGACTTGATCACCATCACGTTGGTGATGTCGAAGTCGGTGAGGGCACATGCTGCCAGCCTAATGGTTGCTGCCAGTGTGGATAGACCAGCTATGGCCATGTTGACATCAAGACCTGCAGAGGAACAGCACAAGATCACTGAAACACATGGCACAGAAAATCTCTACATACATTCCAGCTCAGAGACTTTTCCCTCTTTTTTGTACCCCAGCTCAAAGATTTCAAAATCATCTATAGGTCATATACCCTACATGGACTCCATTTGGATTCCAGGGCCCATTGTGGGGAAAACAAGAACAGACCCACCGCTTCCCCAACATGCTTCCCCAACATGCTTCCCTAACGTGCTTTTCCAACATGACTGTCGCTTCCCCAACATGACTGTCGCTTCCCCAACATGACTGTCGTAGGAGTCAACTAATAGTGAGCTTCCTTCAAAATTGGAGTTGATTTGCCTGAGTGGCAGGAACAACCAACTGCACATAAATAAGCAAGTGAAATGAATGTACCTTCATTGCAGATACAGCCATGAATTTACAACATCTCACATTTTTGAATGAAGAAAGTAAATCAAATAATATAAGAATCAACATTAAAAAGACAGCAGTAATGTCAATACGAAGAAAGAAGCAGAATTTAAATATAGCATTAGAGTATTCATATATTAAATAGGTATCTAAGTTTAAATATCTTGGAACAACATTCACTGAAGATGGTAAATTGGACAAGAAATTGACATCCGATACAATAAAGCTGGCCAGTATCGGGACAGTTAGTTTCCCTCTTACAGCATAAGGCAATCCTAATCAGCACAAAGAAACATCTCATGTAAAGCATATTCATTCCCACCTTATGCTATCAGTGTCAGACATGGTCACTCACAACAAAACATACAAGAAATTAGTAACCATGAAAATAAGATGTCTGAGAAAGACTATAGAAGTGACAAGAAGGGCCTCAGGAATGAGGTCAAACAAGATCAAGTCGGCACAGAAACAATTTTAAATTACATAAACAGACAGCAAATCAAATGGTTTGCCCACTGGGAGAGAATGCCTTCCGATGCTATACCTTTCCAGGCATATACCACAAGAAGAGAAAGACTCAGAGCAAGAGGTAGACCAAGAACAATATGGGAAGATAACATCAGAGAAACTCTACAGCACCACGATGTGTCTATAGTGGAAGCAGCCAGAAGAGCATGAAGCAGGACCTCATATCTCCCTCGATACCCAAGCAATAAGAGAACCTAAAGAAAAAGAATGAATGTACATGCCAAAGGCAGGCCCTGGCCCCTGGCTGAGCTAGTCAGTTTCTGTAGTTTTCCTCTATAATATCCTTCTGTATAAATAATAATAGTAATAATATCCTTTTGTATAAATAATAGTAGTAATAATATCCTTTTATATAATATCCTACTAGCAGCAAAATAAGTCTATATAGATGAACAACCAGGACTTTTGGCTGGAGCCTACAGTCGGTGAACAACCAGGACTTTTGGCTGGAGCCTACAGTCGGTGAACAACCAGGACTTTTGGCTGCAGCTTACAGTCGGTGAACAACCAGGACTTTTGGCTGCAGCTTACAGTCAGTGAACAACCAGGACTTTTGGCTGGAGCTTACAGTCGGTGAACAACCAGGACTTTTGGCTGGAGCTTACAGTCGGTGAACAACCAGGACTTTTGGCTGGAGCTTACAGTCGGTGAACAACCAGGACTTTTGGCTGCAGCTTACAGTCAGTGAACAACCAGGACTTTTGGCTGCAGCTTACAGTCGGTGAACAACCAGGACTTTTGGCTTGAGCTTACAGTCGGTGAACAACCAGGACTTTTGGCTGCAGCTTACAGTGGGTGAACAACCAGGACTTTTGGCTTGAGCTTACAGTCAGTGAACAACCAGGACTTTTGGCTGGAGCTTACAGTGGGTGAACAACCAGGACTTTTGGCTGGAGCTTACAGTGGGTGAACAACCAGGACTTTTGGCTGCAGCTTACAGTCAGTGAACAACCAGGACTTTTGGCTGCAGCTTACAGTCGGTGAACAACCAGGACTTTTGGCTGCAGCTTACAGTCAGTGAACAACCAGGACTTTTGGCTGCAGCTTACAGTGGGTGAACAACCAGGACTTTTGGCTTGAGCTTACAGTCAGTGAACAACCAGGACTTTTGGCTGGAGCTTACAGTGGGTGAACAACCAGGACTTTTGGCTGCAGCTTACAGTGGGTGAACAACCAGGACTTTTGGCTGGAGCCTACAGTGGGTGAACAACCAGGACTTTTGGCTGGAGCTTACAGTGGGTGAACAACCAGGACTTTTGGCTGCAGCTTACAGTGGGTGAACAACCAGGACTTTTGGCTGGAGCCTACAGTGGGTGAACAACCAGGACTTTTGGCTGGAGCCTACAGTCGGTGAACAACCAGGACTTTTGGCTGCAGCTTACAGTCGGTGAACAACCAGGACTTTTGGCTGCAGCTTACAGTGGGTGAACAACCAGGACTTTTGGCTGGAGCCTACAGTCGGTGAACAACCAGGACTTTTGGCTGGAGCTTACAGTCGGTGAACAACCAGGACTTTTGGCTGCAGCTTACAGTCAGTGAACAACCAGGACTTTTGGCTGCAGCTTACAGTGGGTGAACAACCAGGACTTTTGGCTGGAGCTTACAGTCGGTGAACAACCAGGACTTTTGGCTGGAGCTTACAGTGGGTGAACAACCAGGACTTTTGGCTGGAGCTTACAGTCAGTGAACAACCAGGACTTTTGGCTGCAGCTTACAGTCGGTGAACAACCAGGACTTTTGGCTGCAGCTTACAGTCGGTGAACAACCAGGACTTTTGGCTGCAGCCTACAGTCGGTGAACAACCAGGACTTTTGGCTGCAGCTTACAGTCGGTGAACAACCAGGACTTTTGGCTGGAGCCTACAGTCGGTGAACAACCAGGACTTTTGGCTGGAGCTTACAGTCGGTGAACAACCAGGACTTTTGGCTGGAGCTTACAGTCGGTGAACAACCAGGACTTTTGGCTGGAGCTTACAGTGGGTGAACAACCAGGACTTTTGGCTGGAGCTTACAGTCGGTGAACAACCAGGACTTTTGGCTGGAGCTTACAGTCGGTGAACAACCAGGACTTTTGGCTGGAGCTTACAGTCGGTGATCAACCAGGACTTTTGGCTGCAGCTTACAGTCGGTGAACAACCAGGACTTTTGGCTGCAGCTTACAGTCGGTGAACAACCAGGACTTTTGGCTGGAGCTTACAGTCGGTGAACAACCAGGACTTTTGGCTGCAGCTTACAGTCGGTGAACAACCAGGACTTTTGGCTGGAGCTTACAGTCGGTGAACAACCAGGACTTTTGGCTGTAGCTTACAGTCGGTGAATAACCAGGACTTTTGGCTGCAGCCTACAGTCGGTGAACAACCAGGACTTTTGGCTGCAGCTTACAGTCGGTGAACAACCAGGACTTTTGGCTGGAGCTTACAGTGGGTGAACAACCAGGACTTTTGGCTGCAGCCTACAGTCGGTGAACAACCAGGACTTTTGGCTGGAGCTTACAGTGGGTGAACAACCAGGACTTTTGGCTGGAGCTTACAGTGGGTGAACAACCAGGACTTTTGGCTGCAGCCTACAGTCGGTGAACAACCAGGACTTTTGGCTGGAGCTTACAGTGGGTGAACAACCAGGACTTTTGGCTGGAGCTTACAGTCAGTGAACAACCAGGACTTTTGGCTGGAGCTTACAGTCGGTGAACAACCAGGACTTTTGGCTGCAGCTTACAGTCGGTGAACAACCAGGACTTTTGGCTGCAGCTTACAGTCAGTGAACAACCAGGACTTTTGGCTGCAGCTTACAGTCGGTGAACAACTAGGACTTTTGGCTGGAGCTTACAGTCGGTGAACAACCAGGACTTTTGGCTGGAGCTTACAGTCGGTGAACAACCAGGACTTTTGGCTGCAGCTTACAGTCAGTGAACAACCAGGACTTTTGGCTGGAGCTTACAGTCGGTGAACAACCAGGACTTTTGGCTGGAGCTTACAGTCGGTGAACAACCAGGACTTTTGGCTGGAGCTTACAGTCGGTGAACAACCAGGACTTTTGGCTGGAGCTTACAGTCGGTGAACACAGAAGAAAAGATACTTTAACTCAGTCTGCGTTATGATGCGCTTCACATGTGGCTTAAAACAATGACCTTCGCCCCCAGGTCGACCCAGCCTTAAATGTGTACCAGAGACATTCCTGGGAAGTCAAGGTGGCCGGTGTAATCTTGACCACATCAGCCACTGATTACCCAGTGGTCTATAATATATAAGCCACGCCCACAATGCCTAAAGGTGTGGAACAGGGCCCTCTATTTTTACTGTACACAGTAGCATTATACCACCTAATGTACACAGTAGCATTATACCACCCACTGTACACAGTAGCATTACACCACCTAATGTGCACAGTAGCATTATACCACCCACTGTACACAGTAGCATTACACCACCTAATGTGCACAGTAGCATTATACCACCCACTGTACACAGTAGCATTTTACCACCCAATGTACACAGTATCATTATACCACCCAATGTACACAGTAGCATTACACCACCTAATGTACACAGTAGCATTTTACCACCCACTGTACACAGTAGCATTACACCACCTAATGTGCACAGTAGCATTATACCACCCACTGTACACAGTAGCATTACACCACCTAATGTACACAGTAGCATTATACCACCCACTGTACACAGTAGCATTTTACCACCCAATGTACACAGTATCATTATACCACCCAATGTACACAGTAGCATTACACCACCTAATGTACACAGTAGCATTATACCACCCACTGTACACAGTAGCATTTTACCACCCAATGTACACAGTATCATTATACCACCCAATGTACACAGTAGCATTACACCACCTAATGTACACAGTAGCATTTTACCACCCACTGTACACAGTAGCATTACATCACCTAATGTACACAGTAGCATTATACCACCTAATGTACACAGTAGCATTATACCACCTAATGTACACAGTAGCATTATACCACCCGCTGTACACAGTAGCATTTTACCACCCACTGTACACAGTAGCATTTTACCACCCACTGTACACAGTAGCATTTTACCACCCACTGTACACAGTAGCATTATACCACCCACTGTACACAGTAGCATTTTACCACCCACTGTACACAGTAGCATTACACCACCTAATGTACACAGTAGCATTACATCACCTAATGTACACAGTAGCATTTTACCACCTAATGTACACAGTAGCATTATACCACCTAATGTACACAGTAGCATTTTACCACCCACTGTACACAGTAGCATTACATCACCTAATGTACACAGTAGCATTACACCACCTAATGTACACAGTAGCATTATACCACCCACTGTACACAGTAGCATTTTACCACCCAATGTACACAGTAGCATTATACCACCCAATGTACACAGTAGCATTATACCACCTAATGTACACAGTAGCATTATACCACCTAATGTACACAGTAGCATTATACCACCCAATGTACACAGTAGCATTATACCACCTGATGTACACAGTAGCATTATACCACCTAATGTACACAGTAGCATTTTACCACCTAATGTACACAGCAGCATTATACCACCCACTGTACACAGTAGCATTATACCACCCAATGAACACGGTAGCATTATACCACCCACTGCACACAGTAGCATTATACCACCCACTGTACACAGTAGCATTATACCACCAACTGTACACAGTAGCATTATACCACCCAATGTACACAGTAGCATTATACCACCCACTGTACAGTAGCATTATACCACATAATGTACACAGTAGCATTATACCACCCAATGTACACAGTAGCATTATACCACCCACTGTACACAGTAGCATTATACCACCCAATGTACACAGTAGCATTATACCACCCACTGTACACAGTAGCATTATACCACCCAATGTACACAGTAGCATTATACCACCCAATGTACACAGTAGCATTAAACCACCTAATGTACAGAGTAGCATTATACCACCCAATGTACACAGTAGCATTATACCACCCAATGTACACAGTAGCATTATACCACCCAATGTACACAGTAGCATTATACCACCCAATGTACACAGTAGCATTATACCAACCAATGTACACAGTAGCATTATACCACCCACTGTACAGTAGCATTATACCACATAATGTACACAGTAGCATTATACCACCCACTGTACACAGTAGCATACCCAATGTACACATAGCATTATACCACCCAATGTACACAGTAGCATTATACCACCCAATGTACACAGTAGCATTATACCACCCAATGTACACAGTAGCATTATACCACCTAATGTACATGGTACCATTAAACAACTCAATGTACACTGTAGCATCATACCACCAAATATACACAATAGCATTATACCACCCAAAGTACACAGTAGCATTATACCACCCAATTTACACAGTAGCATAATACCACCCAATGTACATGGCAGCTTGCATTGTATGTATCATTTGACTACACGCTGAACCATTATCTCTCACACTGTATGTATCATTTGACTACACACTGTACCATCATCTCTCACACTGTATGTATCATTTGACTACACGCTGTACCATTATCTCTCACACTGTATGTATCATTTGACTACACACTGTATGTATCATTTGACTACACACTGCACCATCATCTCTCAAACTGTATGTATCATTTGACTACACACTGTACCATCATCTCTCACACTGTATGTATCATTTGACTACACACTGTACCATCATCTCTCACACTGTATGTATCATTTGACTACACACTGTACCATCATCTCTTACACTGTATGTATCATGTGTCTACACTGTACCATCATCTCTTACACTGTATGTATCATGTGACTACACTGCACCATCATCTCTTACACTGTATGTATCATTTGATTACACACTGTACCATCATCTCTTACAGTGTATTACATACTGTACCGTCATCTCTTACAGTGTATCATTATTCTCCACACATCTGTTTATTCATTGTTGTCGTTGGTCCATTACAGGCGATAAGATCCTCGCTTTCTTTCATCTGGCATGCAACTTTAGTGTACACTGTATCATCCCACCAGCACGTGAAACCAGCCCACACACTGTATCATTACACCAGCACGTGAAACCAACACTTAGCAAACACACAAAACTCAAGATCTTCAACTCTTGTGTGATTCCAGTACTAACCTATAGATGCGAGAGCTGGAAATCAACGAAAACTCTAGGCACAAAATTAGACAGTTTTGAAAATAAATGCCTTAGAAGAATACTAAATTTCAAATGGTCAGATTTTCGAACCAATACACAAATAAGGCAAGAATCCAGGCAAGAGTATGTGTCTAATTTTATACGAAAACGTCGCTGGAACTATGTCGGCCACGCCCTTAGAATGGATAAATCAAGACTTCCTTACCAAACCCTCATTTGGACACCACAGGGGAAAAGATCTCGTGGAAGACCAAGGGAAAACCTACGTAGAACTATCATCAGGGAAGGCTCGCTCATGGGCCACTCAAACATCCAAGACCTACAACAGATTGCAACGAACCGCCATGCATGGAGAGTCATGACCTCTGCCCTATGTGCCGCACTCGACACAAGAGGAAAGACTAACTAACTAACTAACGTGAAACCAGCCCACACACTGTATCATTACACCAGCACATGAAACCAGCCCACACATTGTATTATCCCACCAGCACGTGAAACCAGCCCACACACTGTATCATCCCACCAGCACATGAAACCAGCCCACACATTGTATCATTACACCAGCACGTGAAACCAGCCCACACACTGTATCATTACACCAGCACATGAAACCAGCCCACACATTGTATCATTACACCAGCACGTGAAACCAGCCCACACATTGTATCATTACACCAGCACATGAAACCAGCCCACACATTGTATCATTACACCAGCACATGAAACCAGCCCACACACTGTATCATTACACCAGCACATGAAACCAGCCCACACACTGTATCATTACACCAGCACGTGAAACCAGCCCACACACTGCATCATTACACCAGCACGTGAAACCAGCCCACACACTATCATTACACCAGCACATGAAACCAGACCACACACTGTATCATTACACCAGCACATGAAACCAGCCCACACACTGTATCATTACACCAGCACGTGAAACCAGCCCACACACTGTATCATTACACCAGCACATGAAACCAGCCCACACACTGTATCATTACACCAGCACGTGAAACCAGCCCACACACTGTATCATTACACCAGCACGTGAAACCAGACCACACACTGTATCATTACACCAGCACATGAAACCAGCCCACACACTATCATTACACCAGCACATGAAACCAGCCCACACACTGTATCATTACACCAGCACATGAAACCAGCCCACACACTGTATCATTACACCAGCACATGAAACCAGCCCACACACTGTATCATTACACCAGCACATGAAACCAGCCCACACACTGTATCATTACACCAGCACATGAAACCAGCCCACACACTGTATCATTACACCAGCACGTGAAACCAGCCCACACACTGTATCATTACACCAGCACATGAAACCAGCCCACACACTGTATCATTACACCAGCACGTGAAACCAGCCCACACACTGTATCATTACACCAGCACATGAAACTAGCCCACACACTGTATCATTACACCAGCACATGAAACCAGACCACACACTGTATCATTACACCAGCACGTGAAACCAAACCCACACACTGTATCATCCCACACATGCACCACAAGCAGCCAGGTGTGGCCAGAACTGACCTGTGTGAAAGTTGCAGCAGCGGGCCGCCTCGCCCTCCGCCATCACAAACATGTTGGAGTCCTGGAAGTAGGCTACAGTTTCCAGGCGCTGGAACAACTTGATGTCGAACAGACGAGGACTGAACTGGAGATGTTTCCACGCCCAGGCATCCTCCAGTTGTGCCTCCACGGGCCACTTGCAGGCGTTGAAACACTTGACAAAAATGTTGCGCATCATCTGCAACAGAACCACCCAGGCACGTCTAGACTGCATTTCAGGGTGACACAGACAAAGACTGGCATCCCTAGTGAATATCACATATGTCTGTTGAACATCTTAACATACCAGTGAACACCAGGTACGGTGAAAACCAGACACAGTGAACCGCATCAGGTACAGTGAACAACAACAGATACAGTTAACCATACCAGATACAGTGAAAATCAGATACAGTGAACACCAAATACAGTGAACACCAGATACTTTGAACAACACATACTCTGAACAGCAGATACAGTGAACACCAGATACAGTGAACAGCAGATATAGGCGTGATTTGTCACGTTGTGAAAACTCCCCCACCCCCAAGGACATGTTGCAATTGTATATCTAAATCGCATAGGTTATCGTTGACTATGTCGTTCGCATTCCAGCAGTAGAAAAAAAGAAGAAAGAAGAAGAAAGCCGCCGTGCTGCAAAATCTCTTTCCATTTGTCTCATTGAGTTGGTGAGCTACTTTCTGTCGGAGGTCCAACAACAGATAGCCTTGGGGGTTGGCCGTTGCGTCTTAAAAGCTTTCTTGGATACCGGAAACATGGCCGGGGTACATCTGCTTGGCCAAGTTGGTATTCTGTGAGCCGTCTCGGTTGTTTTCCCTCAATATTATGCTGTCATGTGAGTCAAGACTAATGGTCCTCTGTTCTTTTTTTAATTTAAACAAGTTTTGCACAATTTAAATGAATCAATGGTGACTGCCTTTAGTAAACAGCTTGGTGACTCTGTCGTATGTCTCGGACATCAAATCGTATATACACGTCACCTATCCGTCTATACACGTCACCTATCTGTCTATACACGTCACCTATCCGTCTATACATGTCACCTATCCGTCTATACACGTCACCTATCCGTCTATACATGTCACCTATCCGTCTATACACGTCCCCATATCCGTATATACAAGTCACCTATCCGTCTATACACGTCACCTATCCGTCTATACACATAATCTATCCCCGCGCCATTGTTCCATATCCGGAAGCCTTTCATTGAAGATGACCACCCTTATGTTGTCAGACAGAGGTTGTCATTCCTCCGATACCGGGTCGACCATATCTCCCAGATGTTTTCAAATATTTGTACTGCACAAATAGTTGGACCGCTATCAGTGCTGTGAAGGGATGTCTCCCGTGGGTCTACACCTAATAGAGAGGTTGTTTTTCTCAAACCGCTATTTTTCTTGTGTTAAAGGGACATAGGGCTATTTTCATGTTTAATGTTACATAATATGTAAGAAAACGACAGTTGAAAATAAGTCAAAAAGACATTAATGATGATGATGCTGGGTGCCGAGCCCTAACTGACAACCAGCCCTACAATATATATACTTACACAGACACTTTCTATCCACTGTTTTGTCTTTACAAAATAAATATAGAATTAGTCTCCTATGTTCAAATTAGTTCTATTTATATCCTGTCTTCTCCTTGTGAGATGCAAGTTTTCTATGTGTTGTAGCCCCACCCTGGCTCTTGCCAGGGGCCGCAATATAGCCCTACCATAAATATGGTGTAATGGCTAAACGCGGTTTCTAGGACCTCTCCACGGGTGATCCTCCTCATCCACATGATAACACTTTGTGTCATCGGGTGTTTATCGCTTGTGTGATGTCCTGGTGGGGTAGAAAGTCTACAACTATTTCTTCTATTGGTACAAGAGGACGTCACTTTCATTGTTGTTGTCGACTATGTGTTTTGTTGATTGTTCTTTTCACGAAGTTTTGTCCTTTTATTGTATCCTTGTGTCCCTGGGTGTTGGTCGCTCGTTGTTCGGTCCTGTTGACACACCACAACCATCTCGCCTCCATTTTGTGGGATGCTCTTGACAAGGGGACACACCAAGTAACACACCACAACCATCTCGCCTCCATTTTGTGGGATGCTCTTGACAAGGGGACACACCAAGTAACACACCACAACCATCTCGCCTCCATTTTGTGGGATGCTCTTGACAAGGGGACACACCAAGTAACACACCACAACCATCTCGCCTCCATTTTGTGGGATGCTCTTGACAAGGGGACACACCAAGTAACACACCACAACCATCTCGCCTCCATTTTGTGGGATGCTCTTGACAAGGGGACACACCAAGTCACACACCACAACCATCTCGCCTCCATTTTGTGGGATGCTCTTGACAAGGGGACACACCAAGTAACACACATTTTTGCTTAAACTTGTTAATATTACGTAATGGGATTTAATAAATATCTGAACTTGTTTATATATTTAAGACAAATAACAAAACAAATCTGATGTCGACCAGGCATCATCTTGGCTGTCCATCTTAGGGGAAAACAAGAATAGACCCACTGCCTCCCCATAAGCATGTAAGAGTCGACTAATTGGGGAGCTTCCTTTGAAGTCGGAGTGCATCTGCCTTAGAGGCAAGGAACCAACAGTCTGTATTCAAGAGAATGAGATCTATAAAACTGATGCACACGCAACACACAGGTTCTGGAGCAGGACTGCAGTTCAGTAGTGGACGAACAAAAAAAACTTTCCACCAGAGTGTGAATGTGAAGAAGAAGAAGAAAAAACAAATCTCCCCCGTGTGGGTTCCGGGGCCTTACTATGGGAAAACAAGAATAGACCCACTGCCTACCCAAGAGCATGTCGTAAGAGTCGACTAATTGGGAGCTTCTCTCGAAGTCGGAGTGCATCTGCCTGAGAGGCAAGGAACCAACAGTCTGCAAACAGATCTGTCAAACGGATGCACACGCAACGCTCAGTTACTGGATCAGGACTGCAGTCTAGAAGTGGACGAACAACCAGAACTTTCCGCCGGAGTTCACAGCCGGTGTACACGAAGAAGAAGAAGAAAACAAATCTTATAAGCTAAAAGGCCGCCATCTTGGGCAAAAATAGTGGACACACCTACAACAATCTAATACGCAGCAATGCCTGTTACTATAGACTTCAAAAAGGGTGTATCATTAAACCAGCCTGGGATGACGAGAGAACCTCCCTACTCCACACACACACTGTATCATTAAACCAGCCTGGGATGACGAGAGAACCACCCAACCCCACACAGCTGGTGATGACGAGAGAACCACCCTACCCCACACACACACTGTATCATTAAACCAGCCTGGGATGACGAGAGAACCTCCCTACCCCACATACACTATCATTAAACCAGCCTGGGATGACGAGAGAACCACCCAACCCCACACACACTGTATCATTAAACCAGCCTGGGATGACGAGAGAACCACCCAACCCCACACAGCTGGTGATGACGAGAGAACCACCCAACCCCACACACACTGTATCATTAAACCAGCCTGGGATGACGAGAGAACCACCCAACCCCACACAGCTGGTGATGACGAGAGAACCACCCTACCCCACCCAGCCTGGGATGACGAGAGAACCACCCTACTCTACCCAGCCTGGGATAACAAAAGAACCTCCCTACTCTACCCAGCCTGGGATAACAAAAGAACCTCTCTACTCCACCCAGCCTGGGATGACGAGAGAACCACCCTACCCCACCCAGCCTGGGATGACGAGACAACTGAGACTTACAGATCGGTCCAGGACGAGCCTCATGTGTCTGACCAGGCTGGAGTCTGTCTTGGGGACAGCCAGGCTCATGTAGCGGTGTCTGCTGCTGCCGAACAACTTCAAGCTGAAACCTGTGGCAAGCAGGTAGTAGACAAGACAGTGTCACTTGAAACCCGGTCTGTGAACTGGGACAGACATGGATATATCCAGGTATATCAACAAGGGACAGACATGGATGTATCCAGGTATATCAACTAGGGACAGTAATGGGTGTATCAAGGTATATCAACTAGGGACAGACATGGATGTATCCAGGTATATCAACCAGGGACAGACATGGATGTATCCAGGTATATCAACTAGGGACAGATATCGATGTATCCAGGTAAATGAACTAGGGGCAGGCATGGATGTATCTAGGTCTATGAACTTGGGACAGTAATGGATGGATCCAGGTCTATGAACTTGGGACAGTAATGGATGGATCCAGGTCTATGAACTAGGGACAGACATGGATGTATCCAGGTCCATGAACTAGGGACAGACACGGAGGTATCCAGGTCCATGAACTAGGGACAGACATGCATGTATCCAGGTCTATGAACTAGGGGGCAGACATGAATTTATCCAGGTCTATGAACTAGGAAAAGACATGGATATATCTAGGTCTATCAGTTAAGGCAGACATTAGTGTATCATTAGCTTTGTTGTCTGTAGAACAGTATACTACTTATGTATACAGTGAATCTAGTACTGGCCTTGCACCAGTAAATATATCCTTGTCCACTCACCTGAATAGTGACAGTGTCCACTCACTGTCCATTACATTCAACTCACTGTCTACTCACCTGAACATGAGTCGGTGTCTTCTTACATGTAGATATGTCCATGTGCACTCACCTGAACATGTACTGGTGTCCACTCACCTGAACATGAGTCGGCGTCTTCTTACATGTAGATATGTCCATGTCCATTCACCTGAACATACACTGGTGTCCACTCACCTGAACATGTACTGGTGTCCACTCACCTGAACATGAGTCGGCGTCTTCTTACATGTAGATATGTCCATGTCCATTCACCTGAACATACACTGGTGTCCACTCACCTGTAGATATGTCCGTGTCCATTCACCTGAACATGTATTGGTGTCTACTCACCTGTAGATATGTCCGTGTCCACTCACCTGTAGATATGTCCGTGTCTGCTCACCTGTAGATATGTCCGTGTCTACTCACCTGTAGATGTGTCCGTGTCCATTCACCTGAACATGTATTGGTGTCTACTCACCTGTAGATATGTCCGTGTCTACTCACCTGTAGATGTGTCCGTGTCCATTCACCTGAACATGTATTGGTGTCTACTCACCTGTAGATGTGTCCGTGTCCATTCACCTGAACATGTATTGGTGTCTACTCACCTGTAGATGTGTCCGTGTCCATTCACCTGAACATGTATTGGTGTCTACTCACCTGTAGATGTGTCCGTGTCGACCAGGTCTACCCCGTAAGCCGAGAGGTCAAACAAGAGGCCGTGGACCCGCCGCTCCGAGAGAGGGATGGAGTTCACTTCTGGCCGCTCCATGGAAGCCACGGCCCCGTAAGCGTGGCAAGAATTGTGCAGGAACTCGTCACTGAGACCCAAGAGTCGAGCCGACTGTCCGCTGGAGCCATCAGCGGCCAGAACCAGCTTTCTCCCAGGACAGGACTCCACGTCCATGACCTTGTCACGGCTGAACTGGGGATGGGTGCAGACGTAGATATGAACCAGACATCTTCCGTGCCAACTCTGGGCGCTCTTACCGAGCACACATTAATCAAAAAATATCTTGTGTTTTATTCTTCTGCTGATTGCATCTCCCCCAAAGACCCTCCGCAAGTCAGATCGCACATGCAGTAGCCAGTCTCACGTTATCCTTCATAATACGCACCAAAGGTTACAGTGCTAAAGTTCTTGCCTTCGCTAACACACGAGCAAGTCTGCAACTCAAATATGTATGTCTTTTAAACCAAAATATGATAAGCTTTCTCTATCTTTCTCTTCTCTCTCTCTCTCTCTCTCTCTCTCACTCTCTCTCTCTCTTCCTCCCCCCCCCCATGCGTTCTTCACTCACCCCCCTCCCCCCCCCCACCATAATTGCTTTATTTATATTCACGGCCTTGAACAGAACTGAAAATGAGGTTCTCACCCTCCCTCCCCCCACCTTCTCAAGCCCACCCCCAATTACCTTATTTACATTCACGGCCTTGAACTGCACCTGAGCCTATGGTGATGACCTCTCATATGGACACCAATCGAGGTTGAATAACCGACGTGGTCAATGTTGCAGTTGCTTTTACTTCTCAGAACTTTTCTATCTAGAGGGCACCTGGATCCGCCAGGCTAACGATAAGCGTGTTGGCCACCCGCACATTGGCCACATTTATACACCATGTTGCTGGTGTGGTCACATTTATACACCATGATGTTGATGTGGTCACATTTATACACCATGTTGCTGATGTGGTCACATTTATACACCATGTTGCTGATGTGATCACATTTATACACCATGTTGCTGATGTGATCACATTTATACACCATGTTGCTGGTGTGGTCACATTTATACACCATGTTGCTGATGTGGTCACATTTATACACCATGTTGCTGATGTGGTCACATTTATACACCATGTTACTGGTGTGATCACATTTATACACCATGTTGTTGATGTGGTCACATTTATACACCATGTTGCTGATGTGGTCACATTTATACACCATGTTGTTGATGTGGTCACATTTATACACCATGTTGTTGATGTGATCACATTTATACACCATGTTGGTGGTGTGATCACATTTATACACCATGTTGCTGATGTGGCCACATTTATACACCATGTTGCTGGTGTGATCACATTTATACACCATGTTGTTGATGTGATCACATTTATACACGATGTTGCTGGTGTGATCACATTTATACACCATGTTGCTGATGTGGCCACATTTATACACCATGTTGCTGGTGTGGTCACATTTATACACCATGTTGCTGGTGTGGTCACATTTATACACCATGTTGCTGATGTGGTCACATTTATACACCATGTTGCTGATGTGGCCACATTTATACACCATGTTGTTGGTGTGGTCACATTTATACACCATGTTGTTGATGTGATCACATTTATACACCATGTTGCTGATGTGGTCACATTTATACACCATGTTGTTGATGTGATCACATTTATACACCATGTTGCTGATGTGGTCACATTTATACACCATGTTGTTGATGTGATCACATTTATACACCATGTTGCTGATGTGGTCACATTTATACACCATGTTGCTGATGTGGCCACATTTATACACCATGTTGCTGATGTGGTCACATTTATACACCATGTTGCTGATGTGGTCACATTTATACACCATGTTGCTGATGTGGTCACATTTATACACCATGTTGTTGGTGTGGTCACATTTATACACCATGTTGCTGGTGTGGTCACATTTATACACCATGTTGCTGATGTGGTCACATTTATACACCATGTTGCTGATGTGGCCACATTTATACACCATGTTGTTGGTGTGGTCACATTTATACACCATGTTGTTGATGTGATCACATTTATACACCATGTTGCTGATGTGGTCACATTTATACACCATGTTGTTGATGTGATCACATTTATACACCATGTTGCTGATGTGGTCACATTTATACACCATGTTGTTGATGTGATCACATTTATACACCATGTTGCTGATGTGGTCACATTTATACACCATGTTGCTGATGTGGCCACATTTATACACCATGTTGCTGATGTGGTCACATTTATACACCATGTTGCTGATGTGGTCACATTTATACACCATGTTGCTGATGTGGTCACATTTATACACCATGTTGTTGGTGTGGTCACATTTATACACCATGTTGCTGGTGTGGTCACATTTACACACTGCTTATATAATGTCTAATCAACTACAGGATACCTATATCTGGTACATACAACACAGCTGACACAGCAGGACACAGGCACTTATGTCCTCCAGAGTTTGTGACTACTCAAGAGTTTCTAGTAAATTCTCAGGTAGAGACAAGACGCTGGCGAGGATGGGACACACGCTGAGAAAATCGTTTACTTGTAAAACTGAACATTACTTTCTTGCAGTTTTGTTGTTGTTGTTGCCAGGAGTGGGCAGCCAATGAAAGTAGAACATAATTAAAAGAACAATATGGGGGAGTGGCAGACAATACTAGTAAAGACAGACAGACAGACAGATGGACAGACAGACGGACGGACAGACAGACAGACAAAGAGGGAGAGAGTTGCAGAAGACGCTAACAGATAGGATTGTGTTGAGAACGTATGCTCCAGTTCGAGATACAATGTAAAAGAAGCAGAGGAACAGAAGGAGGATGAGGGAAGAGAATGAGGAAGGAGGAGGATGAGAAAGGAGTAAGATGAAAATGGAGGAAAAAGGAAAGAAAAGTAAAAGACAATGTAGGATGAGAAAGGAGAAATGTGAGGAAGGAGAAGGATGAGGAAGAGAAGGGTGAGAAAGGAGGAACGTGATAGGCTCGAGAACGCTAAAGACTGCTGTTATGCAGCTTGTTCTGTTTGGCCTACACCTTCATGTAGTCTGGTTTACGAATGCGGAAAAGTCTGGCCAGCCATCAGTTATTAAAAGACCTTGCTTAGTCTTTTAGCGGTCTTTTTGGCTTCCGGACCGACTCTGCAGGACACCGACCCAGCTGTTGCGGCTCTGCACATTGGGCTAGACAGCGTGGGTACAGGCGACTGCAGGGGAAGGCCGTTGCCTGGCTGGTTTCATGGTACGTTTCTTTTGCTTAGGTGGTGTCGGATTTGATTTCTGTTGTGCATCCTCGCTAGGAGATAGTTTGATAGCAGGTCGCTATAAGTGATGTGTTGGTCTGGTGACATAGTAAAGCTTAACGTACATGTTAAATATGTTTCAGTTTTTGCTATGGTTGAGGTAATCTCGCTCAGCGTATGGTGTCATTATCATATTTCCTTGTTAGCTGGAGATGATTAGCACCTTAGATTCTGCCTCTGGTTGAGCACGTTGATTGGTTGTTGTTAGTGTATTATTTTATGTGTTCAGTTGAGTAAAATAAACAGTTGTTTAATGTGATGATTATAATTAAATTGCTTGATTTAATTTAAGATCTGTAGTCTGTGCACATGGTTCGTCTAGGTGTATGTAACCATGTAGTTAGGTTGTCGTCATGTAACTCACTATGTGGATATTCTTTGTCTGGGTCTTAGAGAAATATTATAGGATCCCTGCGCAAAAGGATCCCTGTCTTTTCTTTACTTTCCTGTTTTTGCTGTTTAGCGGGGAACTATTACTTTTGTTCTAATCACAGTTTTCCTTTATCTCCCCTACTTCTGTGTTTTTTCTTCTCTTTCTTCCCGCTAGCACAGGCAGATGCGAAAGGGGGAGAAAGAAAAGAAAAGTAGAAGAAAGAGTAAGATGAGAAAGGAGGAGGAGGAGGAAGGAGAAAGATAAGGAAGGACATGGTGTGGAAGGACGAGGGAGGAAGGAATGAAAAGAAGAGGAACGAGGAGGAGAAGGGGGAAGACAATGCAACACCAGCCCAGATGTCTACAGTCTGGCAGTGAAATGTCAGACAGTGCGACACTTTGATTTGTTATGTCTGGTCGATTCCACTGTTGGTCAGACGTTGGCTAATTAACCAGACAAAATGCCATCTGGCAATGAAAAGATATCTCACAAGATCGCTCCCAGATGGCGCCACGTGAACAAATCTAGTGTGATGCATCTGCTCGCGTTTTGTGTAGGCATACACAGGTGCAAACAAGGGCACGTCTGTGCGCGCACACTAAGCACAGAATCCTAGTCTTTTAAGTGATATAGTGAACTCTGGATTTGTGGTGTTTGTGGAGGATACCATTTATTTCTCCAAATACTCACAACCCCTTCCATACCTGACGTTAGGAGAATCTAAAAACAGACTACGAACGGGGTCCAAACAAAACAACCAACCATTCAAACATTGAATCAGTTGAACACCAAGAGCAGAATTGACAACACCCCAATGACTCCTGACATCAAGCCTGCACAAAGTACCATAGGAGAATAAACACCGCGACAATTGAGGTAATGAGGATAGGCCGGAAACAGCACGAACGTTGATGTTAACGATGCAACCATCAAACAAGTAGTAGAATCTAGGAAGCATATTTATGGAGGACAGTAGACTTGACAGAGCGCTAAAAGCCAGAGCACAGCGGGCAATTGCTGTCACCTGCCCCACCTACTTGATGTGATCAGTGCCAAACAGGGGCTACAGCCGGGTATCCGCGAGACGACAATACCACGACACAGGGCTACAGCCGGGTATCGGTGAGACGACAATACCACGACACTGGGCTACAACCGGGTATCGGTGAGACGACAATACCACGACACTGGGCTACAACCGGGTATCGGTGAGACGACAATACCACGACACTGGGCTACAGCCGGGTACCGGTGAGACGACAATACCACGACACTGGGCTACAGCCGGGTACCGGTGAGACGACAATACCACGACACTGGGCTACAGCCGGGTACCGGTGAGACGACAATACCACGACACTGGGCTACAACCGGGTACCGGTGAGACGACGATACCACGACACTGGGCTACAACCGGGTACCGGTGAGACGACAATACCACGACACTGGGCTACAACCGGGTACCGGTGAGATGATAAAACCACGACACTGGGCTACAAACGGGTATCGGTGAGATGATAAAACCACGACACTGGGCTAGAAACGGGTATCGGTGAGTTGATAAAACCACGACACTGGGCTACAAACGGGTATCGGTGAGATGATAAAACCACGACACTGGGCTACAAACGGGTATCGGTGAGATGATAAAACCACGACACTGGGCTACAAACGGGTATCGGTGAGTTGATAAAACCACGACACTGGGCTACAAACGGGTATCGGTGAGATGATAAAACCACGACACTGGGCTACAAACGGGTATCGGTGAGTTGATAAAACCACGACACTGGGCTACAAACGGGTATCGGTGAGATGATAAAACCACGACACTGGGCTAGAAACGGGTATCGGTGAGATGATAAAACCACGACACTGGGCTACAAACGGGTATCGGTGAGATGATAAAACCACGACACTGGGCTACAAACGGGTATCGGTGAGATGATAAAACCACGACACTGGGCTAGAAACGGGTATCGGTGAGTTGATAAAACCACGACACTGGGCTACAAACGGGTATCGGTGAGATGATAAAACCACGACACTGGGCTACAAACGGGTATCGGTGAGACGACAAAAGAAGAAGAAGAATCAATGGAAACAACGAATCAGTTCACACCAACCATCACCATCATCACGTTCTCCAGAACGTCACTGTCATCACAAGCTGACGGAGATTCTCAAACTTTTACCACCACACTCTCCACCCCCACACACACCCCATCCCCCCACACACACCCCCTCCACCCCCCCCCAACCCTCGTACTGTCACGGAGAAGGAGATAATACTATCAATGGTTACGGCTAAAGGCTGACCATGCAATCAATAAGAAACAGACACACAAAAACATTGACCGAGTGGATGTGGAAGAGTCACTAGACCTGTTGCTGGCATCGCCACAGATCACATACTGGCATCACCACAGCTCACATACTGGCATCACCACAGCTCTCATACTGGCATCACCACAGCTCTCATACTGGCATCACCACAGCTCACATACTGGCATCACCACAGCTCTCATACTGGCATCACCACAGCTCACATACTGGCATCGCCACAGCTCTCATACTGGCATCACCACAGCTCTCATACTGGCATCACCACAGCTCACATACTGGCATCACCACAGCTCACATACTGGCATCGCCACAGCTCTCATACTGGCATCACCACAGCTCTCATACTGGCATCACCACAGCTCACATACTGGCATCACCACAGCTCTCATACTGGCATCACCACAACTCTCATACTG